ACTGCTTTCAATATCAGAATACCACATGTCGCAATAAAAGATGTCAATTTTTACATTGTACCAGCGTGGAACAACTTCGCTATGAACAAACAGGAATAATGACTGAGAATATGAAAAGAGAAGTCGGCCGAACTCCACAACATACTAATATATGTGGGGATTTTAAAATTAAAACTTGCAACAGACCAAAGTGTAAATTGCGGCATATCAAAGTACAAGATTTAAAGCCAATGACATGTGTCAATGATATAAGTGTTACAAATTTTGGTGCTGGAGATTGCGGACACATATTATGCTTAAATTGTGCTGTACGAACCTCACAGGATGTGGATGGACCAGCATTAAAAATATTATGTCCAATATGTAGATGTGAAAATGAATATAAAAAACTATATTAAATATTCTTAATACCTTTATAAAAATACTATGCGGAAATTTATGCGGAAGTCTTTCTTGATAATATTTCAAAATAAATAAATATTAAATATATTAAATTAAAGATAAATATATAATTTATGGAAGATAACCTCGACCGTGATATACATGTTTTATAGGATCATGAATTACCTGAATTACCTTAAAAAGAGAGTTAACTATTACTAATTATTTATTAAAAAGTTAAAAAATATGTTATTGTTTTTGTTATATTTTATGTAGTACTTTGTTTTTTATTCACTTGCTATTATAATTTTATAAGAAAGGATGTCTTACTACAAGATGGATTACAATTACATTTTTGTTTTATAATTGTACAATTCTTTTCTTGATTAGATATGTCACAATAAAAAATGCTTTTTAGAAGACCAATTATTCAAGATTGCATTACAGTTAGATACATATAATTGTTGTCTTAATCCGGATTGTGGTTTCCTATAATAGCCTGTGTAATATCTTATTACATTTCCTATAATCTATAAATAATGTATTTTGTTTTCTTGTTAAAAATATAAATACACATATAATTTATAAATTTATTCTTGTTCTAATTATATGTATTAAAGTAAATAATGTATCTGCATAATTCTGAAAAAATTGAAATTATTTTGTCCAATGCAAAATGTATGCAAATGATATTGTGTTTCTATTTTAATGTAATTTCTATATTTCATGATATTTTATGATAATTTTTCACGTGGAAAAGAAAAAGAAGAGAAAGGAACGGTGTATAAATTTAGCTAAACAGAACAGATTTACTAATAGGATATTTCATGATAAATATTCTACTAGTGTGTTTATCATACAATATAAATCAGAAATATAAAATATAGAAATTACATTAAAATTGAAACACAATATTATTCGCATATATTTGCATTGAATCAACTAATTTCAATTTTTCAAAATTATGTAGATACATTTTTTATTTTAATATAATTAAAATAGGAATATAAATTTATATATTATATGTACATTTATGTTTTTAACAAAAAAACGAAACATTCATATTTACAGATTAGGATTATGAATATTGGCCTTTCTCTGCTAAATGTAGTTACATGACGTAATTGCGCCTGCGTATAAAAGGTCTGTTCTTTTCAGCTGAACTGGCTGCAGTAGTTTAGAGGTTGTCTTTTTCCTTCCAATGTTGAGCAAAAGACATCCTCTGAACTAGTGCAGCCAGTTCAGCTGAAAAGAACAGACCTAAAGTCTAATGGCTTCTGCACACAGGACGCGGAAATGCTTGCCGCGCGACAAGAAGCGACGCGATAGCTAATAAACCTACAGCTCTTATTAAAAAGGTATGTTGATTAGTTACCGCGTCGCTTCTTGCCGCGCGGCAAGCATTTCCATGTCCTGTGTGCAGGAGCCATTACTCTCTGCATACCAATGTTTGAAAAAGGTATGAAAAGTGCGGAAACCATTACTATTACCCCTGGTCCACAATAGGTGATTTAAGCTCTAAGCTTTAAGAAATTGATCAATCACAGTTAGGTATTAGGAGAATACTCGACTATAGATTTGTTCGCGTCACATGCCCCAACATGCTCCTTTTCACTCCAATGCGATCCTATTGGATAATTTGGATAAAAGCTCCAATAGGATCGCATTGGAGTGAAAAGGAGCATGTTGGGGCATGTGACGCGAACAAATCTATAGTCGAGTATTCTCCTAATACCTAACTGTGATTGATCAATTTCTTAAAGCTTAGAGCTCCTTTTCACTCCAATGCGATCCTATTGGATAATTTGGATAAAAGCTCCAATAGGATCGCATTGGAGTGAAAAGGAGCATGTTGGGGTATGTGACGCGAACAAACCTTAAGATTGGTCAATTTCTTAAAACTTAGGGTTTAAATCACCTATTGTGGACCAGGGGTTAGAATTTTATATTTAATTTTTTATATTTAAGATCGTTTTAAGGTCGGGTTCACCGATAGGTGATTTAAACCCTAAGGCTGGCTTCACATGGAGCGTAACTTGCACCGACCAATCACATTATCTCATTTGCAGCTGATACTCAAATGAGACGATGTGATTGGTCGCCGCAAGTTACGCTTTACGCAAGTTACGCCTCATGTGACGGCACCCTAAGGTTGGAGTCCCATGGAGCAGATTGTGCGGAAGCGGAATTAGCGGATTACCAATCACGAGATTGTTCTGATGTAACCTTTTCAAAGATTACGTCGAAGCAGTTCTGTGATTGGTGATCCGCTAATTCCATTTCCGTGCAATCCACTCTATGGGACTTCAGCCTAAGCTTTAAGGCCATTGCACGTAAAAAAGTTTTAGTTATAACCGTAGGATTTGACCAATCGCGTTGTTTGATTCTTACTGCTACGGTTATGGATGGCCGAATCGAGCAACGTAATAGGTTGAATCTTACGGTTACGACTAAAACTTTTTACGTGCAATGGTTTTAAGGCAGCGCGAGTAACCTCACCGAAAAGAAATACGTCACTGTTTAAAACTTAGGTTGCGTTCCAAAACGTCCTCTTCGAGGAAAATTTTACTTAAAAAGCTATAGTGTACGTTACGTGCATTATAAATTTTCAGTGGAATTTTCCTCGAAGAGGACGTTTTGGAACGCAGCCTTAAATGATAAGGCTTAGGGCTTATATCACTTATTGTATGCCGGGACTTAGGCCTAAATTCATAGTCCGATCTTATATTTAAGATCGTCTTAAGTCCGAGCTTAAGACGCCACGGAGCCATTTGATTGGTTGAACAGAATCTTAAGTCAACCACCGACCAGATTTAAGACGATCTTGAATATAAGATCGGACTATGAATACCGGTCTATGAATATCGGTCATATGGCTCCTGCTCACAGGACGCGGAAATGCTTGGCGCGCGGCAAAAGCGACGCGGTAGCCAATAAATTACAGCTCTTAAGGTGCCTTTTTATGCTGACGTTAGACGGTAAATTTCAGCGTCAAAAGACGTCATGTGATCAAAATTGACGAATTGGTATCTTTATTTTTGGTCACGTGACGTTTTTGACGCTGAAAATGAGCATCGAGCGTCTCCATGAATTTGCACCTTTAAGGCGCAATTTCACGTGCCGCTAAAACAAGCGATTGAAGCGACAGATTTGTCGCTTGTAATCCAGCGTCAACAATTTTGTAGTTTGAATCAGTTCAACTACAAAGCATTTACTGCTCAAACGCTGATGCACTGTCACAGATTAGTTGATAGTGTCGTGTATACTGAAGAAAACATAATGTGTTGATGACATGCGAAAATAATTAATAAATCTTGCACTTTCTGATCTTATATATGGTAAGGTAACTTTATAAAAGCCATGCTCGTTACGATTTTGAAACAGCGGTGCAAAACTTTTTTTTAGAATATCTTTTTTGAGTTTGATTTGTCAACAGCAAACTAATAGCAAAAATAATATCATTGTTATATTTGATTTCACTTTCTCGAATCATGTACGATTACAATTTAGTAGCCAATTGTTATATTTTTGTTTTCTAGAAGCCATTGCGTAATATACAAATTAATATAACTGGTTATACACAAATAATGCAAATTTTGTTTTTAACTGATTACACAAACGACGCAAAATTTGTCTCTCAACTTTCAATTCTGTCGCGCTACTATCCTTTTCATGTCAAAAATTATCGCTGTTTAGTTTAGCGACAAAAGTTGTCACGTGATCATTTTTGTCGCTCAAACAATCGGTTTCAGCGGCTCGTGAAAAGGCACCTTTATTAAAAAGTGGTACGTTGATTGGCTACCGCGTCGCTTCTTGCCGCGTAGCAAGCATTCCGCGTCCTTTGTGCAGCCATTACTCGCTACCATAGAAACTCGATACCAAAAAAAGCGCGAAAGCCATTACCGTTAGAATTATTACGTCTTACTTTGATGGTCGTTTATTTTGCTATTGTTAATTTGTCGTTTAATTTGCTATTGTTGTTTTGCTACTGTTGTTTTAATTAGACAAACGAAATACTAATATTAAAATTAATTGATGCAAAAATCAAAATGTATTATCTATTATGTACCAACAAATATTATAGTGTCTACAACATAAAACAGCTAAAGACAAAAAAGATTAAAAAATCATGCATTATTGCAACCAACAGTAAGTACAATAAAATATAAATTCATATACTTTAAAATAAAGAAAATATCTAGAACATTCAAATTCTAATATGATTTATTTGTATGATTCATTTTTTGTAATAAAAGTGCAAAGTATTATAATTTTATGAGCAATTATGTATTTAAAGTTCGATTGTTATTTTAGAAAAAAAATTCAGCTTGCAAAAGATTGCAGATAATCTAAACAAGAAGATTCCAAAAGTGAAGTTAACAACTTTATCAGGTATTATTATATATATGTTCAATTAATGTATAATTGTTATGTTAAATCTTTAACATAATACAATTATGTTCATGAAAAATGGTTTAAAGTTTTATAATTAGTACATAAAGTTTACTTATAAAATTATATTTACTTTATCTTCATAAATTTGTTTTAAAGATTTTTAACCAACTGCCAATTCCAATGCTACGTTAAATGTTGATACATCAAATGTGACATGAAATCAAAGAAAGCACTTGCCTTCCGTCAAGCAGTAACTGTGATACTGAACAATGCAATATAAAGTCTAATTTTAATTTGATAAGTTGTGATAATACAAATGACAGTGATAATATTAAAGATTCTGCGCATTTGACTGCAGATGCTCCTTGTATCGATGAGAATCTTAATACATTAGTTGTTAGTAACAATATTGAGAAAAGCGGTGAGTCTATGATATACATATAATCAATCAAATTTTAATACATTATACAGCAGACATTCTAGATACAGTCTTTCTACGTATTTTGCGTGACAACACATTAACAGCTTTTGCAACATCATCAGTTGCTTGCAATAAAATGTCTCTACCCTATTTTTTATCTTATTTCACAGATTCTCCAACAACTGTCAATTCCAATGCTACTTTAAATGTTGATGCATCATATGTGACATTTGAAATCGAAGAAGGCACTTGCGTTCCATCAAGCAGTAACTGTGATACTGAACAGTGCAATATAAAGTCTGATTTTAATTTGATAAGTTGTGATAATACAAATGACAGTGATAATATTGAAGATTCTGCGCATTTGACTGTAGATCCTCCTTGTATCGATGAGAATTTTAATACATTAATTGTTAGTAACACTATTGAGATAAGCGGTAAGTGTATAACGTATAATTAATCAGATTACAAAACATTATGCGGAGCATGTTCTAATATTTATTGCCAGTACTGAAAATCTATAATATACATAAACTATAGATTTTCAGTACTGACTGTGTATATCGAATATGCCCACAGTGATCATTCTATATGCAGTTTTATTTACATATTTTGCGTTACAATACATTACAGCTTTTGCAACATCAGTTACTTGCAATAAAAGTTCTCTACTTTATTTTCATAAATTTTGTTTACAGATTCTTTGCCAGCTATTAATTCTAATGCTACGTTCAGTATTGATACAGCAAATGTGAATTACGATATCGAAAATGTTTCGACAATAACTAAGATTTCGGATGTTAAACAGAGCGTTCAATGTTGTAATAAATTTTATTCTACTTCTAAAATATGTGAAAATGCGAATGTTATTGAGAAATTTAGAAAAACTAAAAAACCTAAAAAAACTCCGAAGATTCTAGAAATACAAAATGTTAAGATATTACTAAAGAAGATTCCAGTGCACACAGAGAAAGTTGATAATATTACAAATAGTATACAGATGAATAATACGTATAATATCGATAATAGTGATGTTTCTTCAAATGCAAACGGGACTTACGTTATCGATAATATTTCAAGTGAAACATCTTGTCCAGTTGCAGAATCTACACTCATAGAGAATCAGTTAGACTTAGAGTGTGAAATCCATAATAATAATTCTGAGTCTGATGATACATCCATTACATCTAAAAATAATTTAGATAGTAGTTTTCATTTGTCAGATTGTTCTAAGCTTGAAGACACAGATGAAGATGAAGATGAAAATGAAACTAAAAATACACATGAACGTACGATTAATACAAGTAAAAATAAATCTGTGAACAGGACATTAAATTTGACATCAACATTTTCATCTGAAGTATGTGATGATAGAAATATGTATGTGGAAACTTCCAATAATCCTAAATTAAAACAAAATATGTGCGTATATTGTGAAAAATTTCAAGCGCAAATTGCAAGACATTTAGAAACAGTACATAAAGAAGAAGAAGATGTGAAAAAGTTTCGTCTTTTACCTAAGGGTAAGTTGTATGTTATATACAAAGTTGCCAATACTATTTAGAATATCTAAAAGTTAATTGAAATCGAAGTTCCTAATGTGAAAATGTCAAAGAAAATCATTTATCATAGCTTTTCAAATTTTAATACTTTATATATTTAAAATTATGCTTTTTAAAGTAAATATCTATTCAAGTTAATCACTCAAAATTTTAAAAATAGAATTTTGTTATCTATATTCGGCTAATTACATTCAAAAACGTTTTCTTGTTTAATCGCTCATAACTTGAAAACTGTGAATGCATCATCTTTCTTATTAACACATTTCCATATATAACTTGTACATATACTACTAAAGTATATGTATAACTTCATTTTAAACAATAGTCTTTAAATTTAAAAAAATATATAAAAAATTTTGCCAACTATAATATTTGATCAAATAATTTCTGATACTTTTCAAATATTAATAATTTATTGTGTGTATATTATGTGTAAAATTTTTAATAATTTACTTTTAATTTAATCATAATTTATTATACATTTTGTACTTACTATTTCAGGTAATCCGGAACGAAAGAAGATTATTGGTCTACTTAGACGAAAAGGAAATTTCATATATAATACTAATTCTAACTTAAATAAAGGAGATTTAATTGTATGCCGGCGTCCAAGAAATGAATTGAATAGACAAGCAGCCGATTTTATTCCTTGTGCTAAATGCAAAGGGTTTTTTTCTAAAAATAATATAAGACATCATTTTGCATCATGTGCGCCAAAAAGGGAATATCCTCAAAGAAATGTTAAAATATTGGGACGTACTGTGGCTTGTCGAATTCATTACAGTGCAAATACACCATTAAGAAGATTGGTGTTCCCAGTAATGAGGGAAGACAGCGTAACTCAAATTATTAGATATGATGAACTGCTAATTGCTTTTGGCAATAAAATGTGTCAGAAGTATCGTCTCCAACATCAGCACGATATGATTAGAGCGCGACTGAGATTACTTGGACGATTTCTTATTGTTTTGAGAGATCTTGATAATAGTATAGTAGATTTCTCTTCAATATATAATCCAACAAATTATGAACAATGCATTAAAGCTGTAAATAAACTTGCACAATTCGATGAAAAGACTTGGACATATAAAATACCATCTATTGCAACATCTTTAGGAACACTTATAAAACAAATTGGGAAACTTTTAAGAAGTATATGCATTAAGAAACAAGATTGTAGCAAACAAACTGTGGTAGAAAATTTTTTGAAATTATTTGAAGAGGATTATCCTGTTGCTGTAAATAAAATTGTGTTTGAAACTCAAGGGCATCGAAAAAGGCAAAAGAATATTGTCTTGCCATCTATAGATGATATAAAAATATTCAATGCTTATCTCAAAGCTGAACGCATAAAAGCTCTAGAATCTTTACAAACAAATGGTTTCTCAATTCACGCATGGCGTATGTTAACTGAAATAACATTAATATCGATTATGATATTTAATAGAAGACGTGCTGGTGAACTGGAGCGTGTTTTAATTGAAAATTTGGAAAATTGTGCGGCAATTTCAAAAGAAGAAGCACCTGAATTATATAAATCTTTATCTAAATATGTACGGATGACAATACGCGGCAAATTAGGGAGAACGGTTCCTGTGTTACTCCATGAAGAAATATTAAAATGTATGCAAATGATTATTAATTATCGTAAAGATGCTGGCGTACCCGAAAATAATCCTTATATTTTTGGTATATATTCACTCGACAAAAGAAGATTCAAATATTTGAGAGCATGTGTATTAATGCGAAAATATTCTGTAATTTCTGGGGCAAAAATGCCAACTTCGTTACGAGGTACAATATTGCGGAAACATATTGCTACAGTATGTATGTCATTAGATATATCTGAACATGAAGTGAATAATCTAGCTGATTTCATGGGCCATCACGAAAAAATACATAAATCGCACTACAGACAGTCAATCGTAACAAAAGATTTGGCTATATCACGTTTACTCAAATACGCACAAGGAGGAGACACAACAGATGAAAGTGATAATGTTGATGATGAAAATGAAAACAGGGATGATTCGATTAATAATGATAACTCAAATTTAAGTTTAAATACTTCTGATACTTTATCATTAATACAAACGAGATCATCTAAACTGCCACTGTTCGAAAATCGAACGTCTAATGCAAAAAAAAAAAAGCTTAAAACATTATTGCGTTAAAACTCATGCAATCATTTCGTTCACATGCAACATGCCTCATGCGTCACCTTATATTAATATTAATTCAAATAGCGCTCGGCCGCACAGGTATACGTATACCCCGCGCCTCCAAAAAGGAAGCGCTTACGTCAAATCACCGATAATGGTAAACACCGCGGTCGCGCTAGAGGAGATACAATTTAGTCCCGATAACAACAAAATATGACTTGCTAAAGGTAAATAATTATCGCAAACGTACTTTCGCCCTTAACATCTCGATCGAACAAGAGGAAAATGTTCGCGAAGGTTCTCGAAATCCGGGCCTATATAAACCTCCTCTCTCGTGACCGCGGGTCTCTTTCCGATTGCTCGTCGCGAATAGAGTGTGCTTTTACTTTCCGAAAAAGATCGCTTGTCTTTTTCGGTTTTCTCGTCTAATTACCGTTGCTTGCGGAACAGTCAGTAATTTATTTTCGACCCGGCTTTTCTCTCGTTTATTGCATTCATTTCTAATACATTCGACTCGGCTATCTTTCGGCAAATTCAGTGCGGAATATTAATTGTAATTTTTGTTAAAAGTTTATATAAATATATCTTTTTTGTGAACGTTACGCGTGTGTCGAGTGTTGTGTCTATCTCTCAGTCTCGCTTCCGACCACGTCCTATCCATCTTTCCGTCGCGCACAGCCACGTTTACTCAAATACGCACAAGGAGGAGACACAACAGATGAAAGTGATAATGTTGATGATGAAAATGAAAACGGGGATGATTCGATTAATAATGATAACTCAGATTTAAGTTTAAATACGTCTGATACTTTATCATTAATACAAACGAGATCATCTAAATTGCCTAGCAAAGAAAAAAATTATCAATAATCATCTACATAATAATATCGAGAAAACAAAAGGTACGTGGTGGTTTGAATAATATCTATATCAAATAGTACACGTACTGTGCTCGTTGTTTTAACAGTTCTTACAATAAATATATAAGACAACTTTAAAAAAATACTGTTTAAAATAATTATTAAATATTAGATATAAGAAAAAGAAAATTTGTATTATTTTTTTCTATATATACATAACAATTATGCACAAAAAATACTTTTTAATTTTCCAAAATTATTGCATTTTTAAATAACATTTTTTAATTCTTTCTCTTATCATTTAGTAATTATCTCAAACGGCATTCATTTAGAGACATATTCTATATAAACATTAGATACTACATATTATATACTATACTAAATTCTATATAAACATATATATATATTATATTAATTTTGTCATTATTTTAGGAAACCGTTTGGCTTCTAAGAGGAAAGTTAATTATAATATTAAAAATGTGACCGAATCAGATGATGAATGTAATACAGAATCAGATTTAAATATTTTATCAAAAAGAGCAAAGCAATCTGAACAGGTGACTAGAGGAAAGAATAACGTAAATAATAATACACAGAGGCAGAAAAAAAGAATGAGTAAGTTTAAATAATTTTTCGATTAAGTAATATATGTTGTTCTTTATTAAACAACATATTTCATAATAAATGTACTAAATTAATGTAATTTTATTATTATTTTAGCATCTGTTGTTGGTTCTACAAGAAATAGTACTCATAAGATCAGATGGACGGATGATGAACGCACAATAGTTTTATCTTCATTCCAACCTGCCATAAAAAATAAAAAATTGCCATCTCTTCGTAAAATTAACGAAATAAAAATTAAATATCCTGTATTAAAGGCCCGTACAAGTGCTCAGATAAAAAGTTGGTTACATAACCAAATAAGAAAAATACTTAAAACTATTATCATTACAATGTGTCGTTAAAATTGCTCTTGTCGTATATTCTATTCTGCTATTGTTGTTTTCATAAAAAAAGATGTCCTATTACGGTTTGTACATGTTTTAAAATTATATAACTCTTCTGATTCTCCTCTAACCAAAGGAAAACAAAGTTTTTATTTTAAAAAATTAATGGTTCAAAATTGTGCAACGTTATCTCTACGAATACGAGTACTGCTTTCAATATCAAAATATCAGATATTACAATGAAAGAATTATATTTTAACATTGCACCAATGTGATACATCTTTATTAAGATTCCGTACAAAAACAGTCTCTAAACATTCCTTTTATTGTAAGAATTATAATAGATTTAAAATTATTATATAGATTTAAGATTATTAAAGTGCTTATAATTATAAAATATAATAGACAAGATTATTTAAAAATACTTATATATATTAATAGTCAAGAAATTATTATTTTCTTAAAGATTGTTATTTTCTTAGAGATGTTTTATTATTTTGTATCCAAGATAGATTTTATATCCAAGTTAAACTTAAGATCCCCCCTTTCACCTATTTTAGCAGACTTAGTTATGGCTGATCTTGAGACAGAATGTTTAAGCTCTTTACAATTTGACATTTCAGTTTATTATAGGTACGTTGATGATATTTTTGCAATAGTACCACGCAATAAAATGGATAACATTTTGACTACGTTTAATAAATACCATCACCGTTTGCAATTTACACATGAAACAGAGATAAATAACAAGATTAACTTTCTGGATACATTGGTTTTAGAAACAATGGTAAACTATTGACTAGTTGGTACCAGAAACCCACCTTCTCTGGTAGATATTTAAACTACCATTCTAACCATCCGTTTAAATACAAAGTTAACACGATTAATAACTTAGTCGACCACGCTATTTTGTTATCAGATAAACGATTTCATAATGAGAACTTACAGATGGTTAAAAAAATCTTGTTGAATAATTGTTTCCCTAGGACGGTCATCGAGCGATATATGTATAAAAGAACATGTTTTTTAGAAAATTCTCATAACGTAGTTGACAAAAATAATGTATTTGATATTTCGTCTTGTATTTTAATGCCGTATGTTAAGAACCTAAGTGAGACTATTGAGAGATCTATTAAGAAAACAGGCTTAAGTGTTATTTATACGATTCCAAAAAAACTTGATACGTTTATTAAACCCCGAAAAGACAAATTACCTAAAGCCGATATGACCGAGATAGTTTATAAAGTTGACTGCAATGACTGTGACGCCACATACATCGGACAAACTAAAAGACATCTTAATACTCGGATTAAAGAACATATGAATAATATAAAAATGCATGTCAGCAATCAAAATGTTATAAGCAAACATAGAAATGATTTTCGCATGACTTTAAATGGACAAACTTAAATATTTTACATCGAGAAACAAACACTAGGAAAAGAGAGATTGCTGAAATGTTTTTTATAAAAAAATTTAATAACACGATCAACCTACAGAAAGACACAGAGAATTTGAATCCGATCTATGATAGAATAATCAAAGCTGTTTAACTTAGTTCGTCTTTACCATCCATACCGAACGTTTACGGGACACAATATTTATATTGAAATATGTAAAATGGAACAAAATTAATTATATATTGCACTTAAGAATTTGTAAGGTACGTTTAAATTGTTATTATAATCTTGGTTTGCGCTTTACTTTCTTAAAAATCAAAATTCTTGTATGTACATCTATTGTAGTTTTTAATGTTAATTTTAGACTTGATAAGGACCTAAACCTAAGGTCGAAACGTTGTCTTTTCTTGTACATGGCATCAAACTAATAATAATAAGAATTAATTTAAGCCAGTTGGGTCGTCTCACATTTATTTTTAATTAAACTTAAGAGTTATAATTTTTTTTAAGTTTTCTTATATATCATAAATATATCTTATTATGTGTAATTCCTCTAAACGTATATAATATTAAACATAGAATACATACAAACTTTTGTTAAAGTATGGCGAACAAAATTCACTTAAGTACAATAAAGCACATTTCTATATATTTATATATATATATATATATATATATATATGATTTATGCAAATAAACATTTCATGGAGACCTAAAAAAAGATTTTATAATAATTTGATAAAGTGCAATGGAACGTATCAGCAATTAAGATAATTTTCAAATAAAGATATTGTATTTCAAATATATAATACAGATAACATGTTCAATCAAAAAACATGTAAATTATATATTTATTTAGACTAAACGTTAATAATAATTATAAAATTTTATTAACGTTTACAATATATTTGTGTAATATCATTCGTGCGTGTCGGTACATATTAAGGCGCGTCATTACGTGTAGATAGACGCGCATGGACATGTGTGCACTCATGCCAGCGCGTACACGTTTCAGTCAAATAAATTGAAAACATAAAGCCGTTTATAGTCATTGTCTATATGCCTCATAATGAACTTAAGACGATTTAACTGTGTATATCGGTAAATAGATACTTAAAATCTAATTTTAATGATGTGAAAGTATACGAAAATGCAAAAACTATGACGAAGTAATTAAAACAGCTAGAAGTCATCGAAATAGTTAATGTTCACGAAAAATCATTGTCAAAATCGATTACATATATATATATATCAATTAACACGGTGTAAAGGTTGTTTTAACGACAAATATATACAAAATATATGAAAATATACATATGTCGTCAAAATTACCTTAATGTAGCTATAAATTATATATTAATCGATCTGGTGTAAAGGTTGTTTTGAGGACAAATATATAAAATATACATATGTCGCCAAAACAATCTTTACACCGGGTCAATTAATATACAGTTTATAACTGTATTAAGGCATTTTTGCCGACCAGTCGTCAAAACAACCTTTATATCGTTACAATATGTAGATCTGGTCGTAAAAAACTGCCTCTGTGCATTAAAAACTATATATTTTATATACACTGTCTTTGAAACTGCCTAACCATAAAAGAAGTAGTCAAAACTACCATTTTGTACTTTTCCACACATTATTAAAAAACTAGATGGAATTTTTTGAAACGGTTTGTTGCATGTTACTCTCTGGACATTTGCGCATATTTCATATTGAATAAAAAAAATGTCGTCAAAATTGCCCCTAGACATATATATATATATATATTTGTATGTATGTATGTATGTAGGTGTAATTTTATAAGAACATTCAAATAGACGTTTAAAATGCAATTTTTATTTTTATTTTTAATTTTTATTTTAATTTTTTTTTATTAAAATGCAATTCTCAATTTTTTTTATCTGAAAGATAATGCAATCCTTTGTTTATTTTTTTATGTATAATTGATAATTATTATTAGTTTTTATAGTAGTTAGTGCCAGAGGCGGTCTATTCGTGTGCTGGTTTAAAAAATAATTCCAGAGGCGATCTATTCGTGTGCTGGTTGTTTTAAAAAATAATTCCAGAGGCGATCTATTCGTGTGCTGGTTGTTTTAAAAAATAATTCCAGAGGCGATCTATTCGTGTGCTGGTTGTTTTAAACTGTAATTCCAGAGGCGATCTATTCGTGTGCTGGTTGTTTTAAAAATAATTCCAGAGGCGATCTATTCGTGTGCTGGTTGTTTTAAAAAATAATTCCAGAGGCGATCTATTCGTGTGCTGGTTGTTTTAAAAATAATTCCAGAGGCGATCTATTCGTGTGCTGATAATTAAAAAAAATATTACACAATTACAATTACAATTTTACATTAGATGTGGTTTGCATGTGCGCTACAGTAGTAGTATTTATATTGTTAGCTATCTATTTTTTCAGTAATACATAATTTTATAATTAATAATTTATTTTTAATTGTACATTAAAATAAAGATTTATTTTTAAAAGATTTTGTTTTCAAAAATATTTAAATATTTTTTTATAATTTTTATAATAATATTTAACAAAATACTTATCAATAAATGTTTTCTTGCAGGCGACAGTTACTTATCAGTGAGAAGACAAAGCAAGACGTAAAAAACTTGTCGGAGATGTGTCAAATTGTAAGTGATACAGGTATGTATAATGTCGAACAAGATGTTCGATTAGCTAATAAATTAGACTCGAGAAGCATTGAAGATGTCAGTATGGAATCCGTCGACTTTAAAACATTGGATGAATTATTTCCCGATATGACGTATTCAAATATCAAAACAATGCAGTGTCTCGAGTCAAATACATGCATGTATGTCAAACAAGATATTCGTCTTTTCGACGATAACGAAAAGTTAATTGACTCGAGAAGCGTTGAGGATACTAGCCAATCTGTCGATTTAAACAAATCGGAAGAATTATTTCCCGATACGATGGATTCAAATATCAAAACAATGCAGTGTCTCGAGTCAAATACATGCATGTATGTCGAACAAGATATTTGTCTTTTCGACGATAACGAAAAGTTAATTGACTCGAGAAGCGTTGAGGATACTAGCGAATCCGTCGATTTAAACAAATCGGAAGAATTATTTCCCGATACGACGGATTCGAAAATCCAATCAATGCTGTATCAGAAGTCAAATACAGCTATGTATTCTGTAAAGCAAAATGTTAAACTTGGCATAGATAAATGTTTCGAAAGCATGTATATTGATGATTCCAATGACTCCAAAAGCATGCATTATGATAAATCCATTGATTTTGAAAAATCGGTAGAATCATTTACCGATACAATGGATTCTAATATTCAAGTAATGCGATGTCTAGAGTCAAATACAGATATATGCAATGTAGAAAATGGTGTCGAAGATGACAAATATTATGTTATAGAAAAAATTAAAAAGAGCTCTATTGATAAAGATGATATCAAAGAAAATTTGCCTGCAGGCCGTCGCATTATGGACTTCT